ATAGAGGAGGCACACAAATCGAGATTCTCCATTCATACCGGGGCGACGAAGATGTATAGAGATCTTCGTCCTGATTATTGGTGGCCCTGCATAAAGCGGTATGTAGCTTGGTACGTGGAGAGGTGCTTGACTTGCAGGAAAGTCAAGGCATAGCATCAACGACCTCACAACAAGATGCAGTCGTTGGATATTCCCGTTTGGAAATCGGAGGAGATTACCATGGATTTCATTACGAAGTTGCCACGGACTGCACGTGGAGTGGATTCGATTTGGGTCATCGTGGATTGTTTGACAAAGAGCACGTATTTTATCCAGATTCAGGATAGTATCTCTACGGAGAAGTTGGTTGAGGTATACATCAGGGAGGTCGTAGCACGACATGGGGTTCCGGTTTCGGTTAGGGATGAGCGTGGGACGGAGCCGATACCGACCCGTACCGTTCCCGATTTCCTGAAAACCGAATTTGGTCGAAAGTCAATCCCGAGTACCGAACCGAACTAACATCACTAGTACCAGTACCGGGAATGGTACCGGTTTTTGGTACTAGTACCGGTACCGATTCCCGAATTTCATATATTTGGAGTACCAAGTACCGGCCCATATTTTTAAATTCGGTACCGGTTCCGGTATGGTACCGGTACAAGATCGGGATTTGGGACAAACTGCTCATCCTTAGTTTCGGTGGTTTCAGACAGGGACGACCGGTTCACTTCTAGATTTTGGAAGAGGTTCCATGACGAGTTGGGTACTCGTCTCCATTTTAGTACGACTTTCCACCCGCAAACTGACGGTCAGAGTGAGTGAACTATTCAGACCTTGGAGGATATGCTTCAAGCGTGTGTTTTGGATTTTGATGGGAGTTGGGATACTTATCTTTCATTAGCGGAATTTTCGTATAACAACAGTTATCATGCAAGCATTGATCGACCTCCTTTTGAGATGCTCTATGGGAGGAAGTGCAGGACTCCGATTTGTTAGGGTGAGGTCGGTCAGGGAGGCATGGGGAGTACCGATGTGGTACTCAAGACTACTGTGTTGATTCAGCAGGTTCGGAGTAGACTTCATACATCTCATACTCGGCAGAAGAGCTATGCCGACAAGTGCCGATTAGATCTAGAGTTCCTGGTTGGGGATATAATTATCCTGAAGGTGTCACCTTGGAAGGGTGTCATCCGATTCAGGAAGAGGGGCAAGTTGGGCCCCAGGTATATCGATCATTTCAGGGTTTTAGATCGGGTGGGCCGGGTTGCTTATCACTTGGATCTTCCGGTGGAGCTTAGTTAGATCCATAGCACATTCCACGTCTCTTAGTTGCGGAAATGTCTTGTGGATGATTCCGCGGTGGTTCCATTGGAGGATATTCAGGTGGATGATCGCCTGAATTATATCGAGAGACCGGTGGTGATTTTTTGACCAGAAGATGAAAACCTTGAGGAACAAGGTTATTGAGTTATTCAAAGTCCAGTGGCAGCATCGCAGGGGTTCAAAAAAATGTGGGATCCGAAGGACGATATAAAGGAGCGTTACCTATAGTTGTTTGGGGCAGCGGACTTCGAGGATGAAGTTTGATTCAAGTGTGGGAGAATTGTAACACTCGGAATATGGTAAGTTTCCTTTTAGCCCTTCTTGTGAAATTCTTTACATTATGGTCCCCTAGCTAGTGCGCGGGGAGTACTCTATGAGTACGCTTAGTGTACTAGCCTATTGTTGATCACGAATTTCACCCATGTATGCGGGGCATACGTAGAGTACGCATGGTGTACAGGGTGTAGGTGAAAACCCTAATTTTTAGGGTTTGCACCCTATTTAAACAACTTAAACCACCCCTTGGACATTTATTGACCATCCTCCATCTCCCTATACCCTCAAAACGAAACCCTAAGTGCATTTGGTGAGATTTGAGCTTGAAAGTGAGTATGTTGGTGTTTTATGGTGTATGGTTTTTAACTTCGCGAGGTCATTAGTAGATGACATAATAGCCCTAGTAATTTTCTGGATTTCCTTGGATACGGTAGCCAACCCCTTTTAAATTATTTTTGTTACTTCATCAGATGCCGCTTTTCTCTTTTTATTTTGCGTCGAGTCTTTAGGATTTGGATCGGAGGAAGTTGCGTGTTTTAAGGATTAGAATTAGGTGATGGAAAATTTTCTCCTTCTTCGTTATCAGTATTTTAATTTTTTTGTCACATCAGTTGCCGATTTAGCTATACCACCTGCAATTCCATCTTTACCAAAAACATTTGCCAGTCGCTTGTATGTAGGGAATGGTTTATTTGTGACATAATTTTTGATTGGATGTTTCTAGTAAAACAAACAAAGTTACAGGTAAAACCACATGTTTATTACTTAGATATGCCGACAAATAAACCGGTATCATCTCTACCGCCGATGACAACAATGTCTTGAAGGATGACAATCAACGCATCCTCTTCTTCTTGAGTCCATTGACGCCTATCTGTCATGATTTGTTATCTGCTTTTGACATATTATACATAACAATGGTAAATAGATAAAAATGTCAAATATAAAAATAATTCATCCACTAAGTTAGTTAAAATTAATAAAAAAACATGCACAAAATTCAAAGTTGTTGACGTCCATAGCAATTACAACTAACAAACTTAAAAATAAAAGTTCTACAATTCAAAAACAATCTACTAAGATCTAGTTGACATCCAAGAATAAAACATTTCTTGGGCTAAATCATCCCTACATTGAGTCCATTCGTTACTTGATTCAACAACATCCACAATTTAAAATTGATTTAGTTTCTCTTCCCCGATAGGCATATCTTCAACAGTGTTAGACGTGTTTTCCTCTGGATCAAGAGCCATGTGTGTTCTAATTATGCAGAAAAGCACATGCCATGACTATTCTCCCTTGAATTCTTATTGGATAAAATGGAGGACTTCTTAATATAGTCCAACGTCTCTTTACTAGACCAAAACATCTCTCAATACCATCCAAACAAAAACTATGTCGTGGATAAACCATTCCCTACATACGAGCGACTGGCAAATGTTTTTGATCGAGCTACATGTGGTATGACATGGTTGAATTGGTGTCTGACGTAACATAAAATCAAAATATTGATAATGAAGAAGGAGAAAGTTTTCCATCGCCTAATTCAAATCCAAAAAACACTGCAATTTCGTCCAATCCAAATCCTAGTGCAAAATCAAAAGAGAAAAATGACATCTGAATAAGTAACACAGATAATTGAAAAGGGGTTAGCTACCATATCCGAGGAAATTCAGAAAATGACTAGGGTTATTACGTCTTCTACTAATGACCTCGCAGAGTTAAAAACCATACATGAAGAGTTGAAGACCATGGAGTTGTCTTCTTCAGAAATCATGTGGGTTTTTTTAAAGTTAACAAAAGTTTGTTACCGATGTGGAATAGTTTGAATGCAGCTACCAAACCATTTTTTGTGAAGACTATACTGGAAGAAGAAAATTGAAGTTTGTTATTTTTTATTTAAAATTATGGATTTTGGAAACCATTTGGGTTTGAAACTTTGTTACTTTGAAGCAATTTCTATTATTTGGTATTAGAACTTGTTTTAATATGATAATTTTTTTAAGAAAAATGTTAATTTTGAAGTTAAGTATGTTAAATAGAGTTATTATTAACATTTTTGCCAAAGGGTAGCATGGTTTTTTTTATATCAAGTTGTGTCCGATTCTATTGTTACCAAACAGTTTCACACAACTTGTTATGTTCTGTTTTAGTCTTACCAAACGCTATACAAATTATTTGTTCAGTCCAATTCTTCTCCACTCTACCAAACCGTAATTACCTACCAAAACAAAACAAAATGGCAAAGATTACCTGAGAAGAGAAGAAACTGTCAGAATTTTAGGTTTAAAATCTATAAAAGCCACTATAGTTTGAACAAAATTTGTTTGGTTTTTAAGCACCCAAAGATTTTTTTGTAATAATAATAATAAAATGAGTTTTGGTTTTGGAGTTAACATTTTAAAAATAATCTTTGAATGTTTCATAAAAAATCGTTGAATGTTTCCCGGAGTATTTTTGGTTTCATGAGTCCTGTTACATTACTTCTTCATAAAATATTCATTAATACTAGCAGCCAAAAAACACATGAAATACATCTTACAAATCAAAAAGAAAAAAGACGACATCGAATCCGCCCTAACAGAACACCTCCGAATAATGTTGTAAATGAACCGAACGTTCGACGAACTGATCATGAACCGTTCGGCGGGAAGTTCGTTTATTTAATAAATGAACGAACATGAACACAAATTCCCGTTCGTTTAGTTAAACGAACGAACATGAACAATGGTCTTGTTCGTTCAATTATGTTCGTGAACGTTCGTTTATGTTGTTCGCTTATGTTCGTTCATTCAAGTTCTTTTTATGTTCATATATGTTCAATTGTGTTTGACTACAATACTATATTATATGTCTGTTTATGTTCATATATGTTAGTTATGTTTATTTATATATGTTCGTTTATGTTTATGTATGTTAGTTATTTTTATTTATCTACGTTCGTTTATGTTTGTTTACCCCGTTCACGAACATGAACAACGTAAATTTTTAAATGAACGAACATGAACAAGAAAATTTGTTCGTTTATTCATTCGTGTTTGTTCATTTGTTCGGCTAACTTAAACGAACGAACATGAACACACCTGTGTTCATTTTCTTTCGGTTCGTTTACAGCCCTACGTCCGAATCAATGGGGCCTACTGGGGTCTAAACACCCTGGACATCCTAGGAAAACTCAAAGCCGTCGAACAAGAAGCCATCATTTCATGGGTCATGAGTTGCCAACACGAATTCGGCGGCTTCAGCGGCAACATAGGACACGACCCCCACTGCAATCCAAATCCTCTTTCTCTCTCTCTCTCTCTCTCTCTCTAACAAAACCCAAATCCTTAATTAACATCCCCGAAGTCTCAACCTACATATCCACCTTACAAAACAAAGACGACTCGTTTTCAGGCGATAAATTGGGGGAAATCAATATGCGATTCTCTTACCTCACGATATGTTCGCTTTCACTTTTGAAAAGTTTAGACAAAATAAATGTGGAAAAGGTCATGGAATACATAGTATCTTGTAAGAATCTAGACAAGGGGTTCGGGTGTACGCCTGGCGCTAAGTCACACTCGGGGCAAATCTTTTGTTGTGTAGGCGTGCTTGCGATCACGGGGTGTTTGCATTATGTGGATAAGGATTTGTTGGGGTGGTGGTTGTGTGAGAGGCAAGTGAAATCTGAGGGGGTGAATGGAAGGTCGGAGAAGCTTCCGGATGTTTGTTATTCGTGGTGGGTGCTTTCGAGTTTGATTTTGATTGATAGAGGTTATTGGATTGATAAGGAGAAGCTTGTGAAGTTTATTTTGGAGTGTCAGGATTTTGAGAATGGTGGGATTTCGGATAGGCCGGATAATGCGGTTGATGTTTTTCATACGTATTTTGGAGTTGCGGGGCTTTCGCTTCTTGAGCACCCGAGATTAAAGGCGATTGATCTGGCTTATGCTTTGCATGTTGATGTTATAAATAGAATTTTTCTCAAGTGATGGGTTATACATTTTTACTTGTTAAAGATTAGGTTATTGTTTGTTGATGTGTTAAAGTTATACTATTTTTTTGTTTGTTTTGGTCTTTTGGTTTAATCCTTAGTTCAACGTGAAAATCTACTTAAAAAGAATTTCAAATGATTCCCGCACAGGACCTTACGCGGGCAAGGAATGGGCCGCACATAAGCCACACAAGACCTTACACGGGCCGTGTGGGATCCTCACGCAGGCCGCGTGACTTCCTGCACTTCAAAATTTGAAATTTTTCTAAAAACTTGATTTTTGGCCAAAGTGATTCCTGCAAAGTACCGGTTTCAAAAACACAACAAAATTTTGGACCAAATGTGAGAATAAAGCTTGAAAATTTTCAAAAATGAACACTTTCAAAACAAAAAAAAACATTTTCAAAATCATGTTATTCTGTTTATAATAGACGAAAGCACAATACTTCCAAAAATGCCCTTCTTTAACATCTTTGGCGAGACTTCCTCCAATCTTTTCTTCAATATTTTGGGGTGTCCAAACGGACAATGAATTGGACATTTGCATCAAAACCTCTGTAGAAAGGCTTCAACCGATGTCCATTAACCTTGAAAACTTACCCCGTGTCAACATTTTTTAATTTCCACACCTCCATTGGGACTCTTTTCTTGTACTTGACTTTCTTTTTACGGGAGAACCATATCGGACTTAGACCTTTGATAATAGCAAGCATCCAACCATATTCTTTCTTGTACTTGTTTAGTAAGGTGACCAACTCTTCCATCTTTGACATGGTGGTCGAGTTGGTGACCGGTTGGGCGTTTTCTTTCTCGAGATATGTATCATTTAAAGGGTCCGATAGATTTATCATTTTCGGATCTTGTGGTTGGTCTACCACTGGAGTTAGTTTCTCAGTGATAGTGGGTGGCTCAAACTCTCTTTCGTTAACCCCCAACATGAACTCTATAGTTTCATTGACATCTTTCTCAATTTGTTCTTCCTCCTTGACAGCCTCTTCCATTTCTACTCCTTCTTCCTCTTCTCCATATAACACTCTTTGGCCATAAAAAATTATCTCATCTTTGAAAGGAATGGCACATGTGTTATGCCATGGGATCTCTTCAGATGGCAGTTTCTCTTGAGATTCCATTATACTTATTGATTGAGCAAGTTGTGTTATTTGTTTCTCTAAGCTTTTGAGGCTAGCTGGGGTTGTTTCTTGGAAAATCTAGGTATATGTGGCAATGCTTTTCACAATTTCCTCTAAGGACATGCTTTGCATTTCATGTTGTTAAAGAGGTGGAGGATATGGATGTTGAAATTGTGGAGTTGGTTGGTATTGGTCACTTCTCCAAGCTTGGTATGGGCTTTGGTATTGGTTGTATCCCCAAGCTTGGTTGTTGTCCCACCATTGATCATGTTGAGGTTGATCATAACTCCATTGGTTTGACCAGTAGTAGCTTCCCCTTTCTTGCACTTCTTCCCATTCTCCTTGTAAATATGGACACATGTTGGAATTATGTCCATTTTGAGTGCAATTATTGCAAGGAAGAGTTGTGGGTTGCACACTTTGGTCACTTCCAATCATCATAAATAAATGAGCTAGCTCGGAAAGTTGGTCTTCAATGCAATGAGTGTTCATTTCCGAACCATACTTTTTTTTTGGGGGGGGGGGGGGTTAAATTAGAGTGTCTGCATAATGAGATCTAGGCACAGAGAAACAAACTGATTAAATCAAAACCAATCCCCGACAACGGCGCCAAAATTTGGTGGTTGTTGAGGCCAACAAAATTAATAACCCTAAATCTTTTACATTAAAATAGTGTATAGTGGTAAAGTGGTCGAATCCACGAAGATTGGTAATCTTTTATAACTCTATGAAAATCTCTTTGTAAAAATACTTGTAAAATGACAATAAAAGTAAAAAGGGGGGTTTTGGTCTTTTGAAATACTTGAAATAAACTAGAATTAAACTAAGATTTAAATAGATAATTTCAACAAAAACAAGGGTTTGATGTAAAATCAATAAGAGAAAGATGGTTGACTTAAGGTTTCCTCACTTTGACTTTTGATGAACATATCATTAGAATCCAATGGTGCAATACTTGTTTTAAATCCTTAATTTGGCTATAGTAATTTAAGAAGCATGAGATTACCTAGACTTTTCTTAGTTATTAAAATGGTTAGAGAAGCTCATAACAATTTCCTTAGTCAAAGTCACAATTTTCATTAAGCATGTAATTAGTGAAAGTCAACTAGCATTAAGAACCAAAAAGTCACCAAATCCAAGAGGAGTCAAATGCTTTCACTACCATGTTGGAGAAAATGTTTTTATGATTGTGTGAAGCAAAACTAACACAAAAATTATTTGTTGCTTGCTAATTTGAGGATTCTTTACTTAATCAAGAAATCAGCCAACTAATCACCACAAACACATTTAAACTCATGAATAAAAACATACAAGTAGTGATAAGATGTTAAAACATAAAAAATTCTCATAAAGATTCAAGAACTAGTTCATGGAGTCTTCAACATTCAACAAAAGTTCAAAGGATTCCACAAAAGTCAACCATGTTTTGTCTAGCCAAGCATGGCTAAACTCAAGACAACAAAGTAAGAAAAGATTGTACCAAACATTTTACAAGATTCAAGAGCAAAGAGATGAAGTTCTTCAAGGTTCTTGGCCTTCAAAAATGCTCCAAAATCTCCAGAGAATGCTCCCAAGTTCGGATGTGCAAAAGTTTAGAAAAGTGGCACGCCAACCTTCCCCATATAGACTTCCAATTAAAATCCCAAAATTGCCCCTACAGGAATCCATGCGGGCCGCGTGGAAATCTTACGCGGGCCGCGTAAGATGACGGATATTTGGGCTTCTTCAATTGTTGGTCCTGCACAACTTAGTTCATTGGCCCAGTTTGAGTCCAATCAGCTTCTAGCCCATTTTTTCTTAAGTTCTCTTCAGTTTGAGCCTAATTTTTCTTCTCCAAATCACTCATAGCTCTCGTAATCGCTCGATCATTAATTCCCGAACGTTTGAAAAAATTCTTCCATCTTCTTTTAATTAAGAGGCCATATTCTTCCATGCTCCATCCATCTAAAGTCCATTTTTGCAGCACCTCCACTAGATATTAAGCCCAAGATCCTTGTGGTCCTCCAAGTCTAACCGTTTTCCATAAGTCCCGAACATTCCTGCTCCGCTAGACTCCAAAAACCTGCAATTATGCTCACGAAATTCGAAAGTACCCGAAAGTGGTCATAAAATAACAAAAAGGAAAATATGCATGGAAATTAACTAAAATATGAATGAAATGTACTAAAATAAACTATAAAAAGAAGTAAATAAATTAAAACAATCAGAAAGTTATGCGGAAAGATTAATTTGCAGTTCTTGAATCGAAGTGAAAAAGAGCTCTGTGAATCTAACACCTATGAAACAAGGTTACATTAGTGTTATTGTTAGAATGTTTCATGGTCGATTTGATTATATTAAAAGACCCACTTTATCTTCAATCCTAGTCTCTTCAGCCAAGTAATTTGCAAAGAACTCTTTGTGTATTTGACCAAATTGAAATACCCACTTTATCTATTTGGAACATTATGATCTGATGTTTTGCATAGAGCAATCGTGAAAATGAGAACAAGAGAGAGAAACAAAAAATGAGAAATTGAGAGAGAAACGAGAGGGAGGAGGAGATTAGGGTGTTTCTTGTAACACCCATAAAATTCATGAAAATTTAGAACTTTTTCAAGCATTCAAAAACCATTATTTATTACAAAATGTTTTCAAAATACTTTCATATCAGAGTATCCCAGAAATCAAATCATAAAAACGTGAGGAGGTGGACGATCAAGCCTTTGCCTTCCCGCGATTATCCGAAGTACCTGAAACAAAATCCAAAACTGTAAGCCCGGAGCTTAGTGAGTTCCCCCAAAATACCAACACCATGCAAACCCTAACAATATCATAGTAACCAGCATGCATATAGAGTCTGTAGTATGACTGGACCGCCCTCACCGGGCCTTGAGTCTATCTGGCCCACTCTCAGAACCTTCAGCATGTCTGGTTAGCCCTACCGGGCCTTCAGCATGTCTGGACCATTCTCCGGGCCTTCGGTCTGACTAGTATGCCCCATTGGGTATGCAGTCTATCCGGGTCACCCTAGGTATGTTGGCCTACAACACAAAGCAGGACCGCCTCAACCCACCCCCAAACATACAATCAACATATAGATAACAATTGCTAGCATGTACAAACATTCAGACCGATCTAACAGATCACTAATCATAGCATCATCCTATATACCAGGATATCGACCTAACAGGTCACTAAACATAACATCATCTTATATACCAGGATACCGATCTAACATATCACTAAGCATATCATCATGCGATAACTAGGATAACAATCCAAAAGGGTCGTCATTGGTACCAAGCAATCTCCCTCTTCATGCACGACCACCAGTAACTCAAACTCATATCTCAGTTCATCTTGGTGGCCCCCGGTTGAATAGAGAAGCAAGACTTATGAGCCTCCTCCAGTACAATCTGTCTGACCCCACAAGACATCGGAACCTATACCCGACCACAACGGGTCAACAATCCCCGACTATCCTGCACAAATCGGGTGATCTCGTCCCTAATCCTCTCAAGCTTCCAGTTCTCCTGCCGCACACCCTCAGCCTGAACTTCCCTAATCAAGCTCACGAGTGGAGAATCCACAGATATCCTCATACATGCTGCTAAAAACAGAAGATTCATCCGAATTGCGGCTCAGGGCATCTGCAACCACGTTCGCTTTACCCGGATGGTAAAGGATCTCGCAGTCATAATCCTTGACTACGTCCAGCCACCTGTGCTGCCTTATGTTCAGGTTCGGATGATCCATGATGTGTCTCAGGCTCTTGTGGTCCGTGTATATGGTACAGCGGACCCCATAGAGATAATGTCTCCAAATCTTGAGAGCAAATACCACTGCTCCCAACTCCAAATCGTGTGTGGGATATCTCGTTTCATGC